TACTACGATGCTTCTAAACAATGTCAACGTGACGGTGGCACACTTGTATCTATCTATAATAAAAAGGTTACATTTTTCTTTTTTTCTCTAGTTTATATAGATGGACTTACTAACGCTTGATTTTACAGAAAAATGACCTTATCACTCAAATGGCTAGAAAAGCGGGCTCTTTAGTTTGGTTAGGGATAAAATGTCCACATTCTTATCGACATCACTGTATTTGGGACGAGAGTCAAGCTCATCTTCAAGACTATTCTGTGTTCTTCCATGGTAAATTTTTGCAGAATCTTGGAGAGAGTGTCAAGGTGCCCAGAACACTAATACTATGGAACACAATTTTTGAAACCATGTTTTCCAAATATTTTTTCCTGGAGACCATTCTAAAAGCGTGCCTCCCCGCCCCGTCGACGTTGCCGAGAAGTATTCCAGGTTTTTGATTGAGTTAACGCCGCAGTTTGGACAAATAGGTAAAATAAGGAAAATTTCAATACATAGAAGAATAAAACAGGCAACCCTCTGCTGTTTTGCGAAAGTCTACTACAACCTATCTCAAAACCGTTTTTTGTCCTTAATATTGAATAGTTCAAAAATACAATCTTCAAATAAGGTTCTGCCTAATTTCTATTTGATATAGTAACTTTATCTGGCAACATCCCAAAAAAACTACATAATGACCAAAAATATATATAGAAATGAAGGAAAAAGGGAACTAGCATTTCTGTAATATTCCAACATGAACTAGTACTTCTCGAATTCATAAAAACAACGTTCATTGCTTAAATTGACTTGTATTGAAGAAATAATTTTTGTAAATTGTCTATTGAGGTGCATTTTTCCAATGAGGTGTTAAATAACTATCAACATAATCATACTTCGCCAATAAATTTCGTTTTAGGTAACCCAAACAGTATTGGTGAATGTGTAATGATGATGATTGGTGAACTTGCTAATGGAAAATGGGTTAGTGCCGATTGCAGATACATGCGAGTTGCTTTCGTTTGTCAAGTTGCAAGAAAAAGTAATACTTTTTAGAGTATAATTTTAACAAATTGGCGATGAAAAGAGTAATTTATAGAACTTTGCGGTGATTATCGTGAGTACGCTAAAGGTGGTAAATGCTACAAACGAATTCACCAACGTTTATCTTTTGATGAAGCCGAGCGTTACTGCCAACAAGAATGCGGCCACCTCGCTTCCATTCATAACGCTGAGGTGAGTGCTCAAAAAGATTTTCTGAAAAATTTTTCCTCATCAAAACTGCATCAGCAGCTATTTTAGGAGAACGAGATTTTTCATGAAATGTTCGACTATAAGGGAGACTACGGTAGACTTGGCTTAAAGCAATCAAATGACAATTTTTCGTGGACGGACAATACGACTTTCGACTACAACAATTTTGGTATGTTCTTTGACCAAGTTCCTTAGAATAACTGAATACGTTTTTGAAAGGGTTTAAAAATAAAAGATTTTCATTGAAAGCAACACAATTAATGAAAGAAAATGATGGAAAGGAAAAAGTGCAAACTAATAAACTAGGAAAATATCAAGTTGCAAATTACAACAAAATTATTTCCCTTATTTACGTCGTATAGTAAGCGTCAATGTTGTAAATAAAAAGGATTATGAATAAGTAAAAAATAAGATTTTGCTGATGGAAATTAAGAACCTAAGTGAAAATAAGAAATTTGTGGTAGAGAGTAGCGAAAACGATCATGGGACGACCTATGGATCATTATTCTATAATATCGGCCCCACGAAAATCCAAAATTGTAGCCTAAAATCATTTTAACTAATTGAGGACATAGAAACCCTTCGTGGGTGATGTCATTACAAAGAGGTTACGGTAGAGTACTAAGGGGCTATAACAGATTCTACTGAAATTAGCTCTAGAATGGGGTCAATCGAGATGCTGATTAGAACCATACTGTCTTTTTATAGCAGATCTTACTGTAGGTACGAGGAATAGACAGCGCGAGCTCAAAGGATTTGTATCTAGAATGCGAGCCTAGAAAATCATATCTATCAATTATTTCAAGGCCTTAAATTATATCACGCAATGCAAGATTTTCAGGAGTCAACAATACAAAACTCGGCGATTGCGTGGCTATGTCGCTAGCTGATGAGATAGTAAACGCCACGCAATGGATCAACGTTCCATGTGATCAAGGACTCCCATTTGTATGTCAAAAAGGTCTGTATGGGAAAATAAGATGATAGATAGCCTAAGGGCTTAAATAGCCGCTAGCCGTTAGGCTGTGATGCGACAAAACATAGATCCTTCTTTGAAAACTCCAATAGTTGGAATTAAAAGCTCCCCCGAGGACATAAATGTATGAAAATTTCTATCCAAGGTTTCGCTAGCTTATATGGCAATCTATAACAAACGCTTTAAAACGTTAACCAATGCCCAAAACGCTTTGGAGTACGGTAATCCCAATAACTTAGGCATCTGTCTATTTTGACAAATGAGGCAGCTCTCTATCACTGTTTGTCCTTTGCGGGCACGATAGTACATATTGTGTTCCTTTGCGTACTTTATTCAAATTGCTAGAAATTGAAACAAAGGTTCACAAATTCAATCATGGTTCTTTCCTGCACATTCCTTGAACTCCGCCTCACAGCATTTCAATTGAATATGTAAGGAAACTGTGCAAATTCCCTGGTTTATTTCCCACAGTAGACCGTTGTTTGACTTCTAAACATATAAGGTGCACATCTTTAATCTATACCATAAGCTTAAATCACAAAATTCCAGTTCGAGGAGCATGTTTCAATACAACAACGATTTCCGAAGTACCACCTCCAACAATGGCTCCAACTACTTGTGATCAACCACAATTTTTCGATCGAAATGGCACGGTAATCCAACTCGTTCCTTGAGTTTCTGCTCCAAAATTG